TTTTTTTTTTTTTTTGATCGGTAAATAAATTTTATAGATAAAAACTGAGTTTACATCAACCGTCTCGCGGCACACAAAAGCAAAGTGGGTAACCACAATCCGGTCCCTCACTCGCTAATCAAAATGATGAGCGGCAAACCACACTCGATTGCTCAACTCAAACTAAAGTGGAACCTAAATCAAATATTTCCGAGGGCTTTTCTCTCCATGTCGGCAAGCACATTCGGGTACAAAGCGAAAATACTCCGGTAGACGTGGGTTTGAATTTTTCGGATAATGAGCTCCGGAGATTGTACCTCATTCTCGAAAATTTTCCTATTCCGAGCATTCCAAAGGAAGTACACCGTGGATGCGAGCCCGCTTTTATTGCTTTTGTTCTTCAACCGGAGCCTTGTGATTCATTCTTAATCCACTTCAATGCACTCTTTAGTGTAGAAAGTCGTCTCCTCAATCCTAGCCATTGTCGAATGCGTAGCCAAACTTGAGCCGAAAGGGGGCAAGCGAAAAAGAGATGATCCTTTGACTCGGAAGCTTCCCCACAAAAGGCACAAGTAAGGTCTATATCAAGAAAGCCGAGTCTATCTTTGGTCCGGAGCCTCCCAAGCGTTGCAAGCCAAAGGATGAAGGCGTGCTTGGGGGTATGAAAGAGAGAATTATTCTAGAAGTCTTTCTACATGTGAAAGTACTCCTAGAAGTCTTAAATATATTATTTTATATATATTTAAATTATCATTATACAATTAACAAAAAATAAAAGTTAAATAAATGTAATAATATTTATGTAATGATTATTTTATTTGTTAAAACATGTATATAGTATTTACAAAAATATTAATTAAATTTGAAGAAAATTTTCAATTTCTAATCTAAGTCGTTGATTAAATTATAGTTTGCTGGCATTTATTTGTACACTTTATCAAAAAGCATATTAATTTACATAAAGAAAAATAAAAGAAAAAATTGCTTTATTTATGAAATTATATTATAAATTTAATGGTATATATTTTGTCAAAATTATGTAATAACTACAATTCATTAGAGATAGTTTAATATGTAGGCTGTCCAATTCTATTCGCGCCTAAAATAACTGATTTGTTTCTTCAATTGAGACATTCAAAATCAAAGACTTCACATGAAACATTAATTTCATGATATTATGGGAAAATATATTTTAAGTTTTTTTTTTTAAAAAAATCATTTATTATTTTGAATTTATGTTTTAATATATAGTGTAAAAGAAATTAAGCATAAAAGTGAATAATTAAAATATAAAAAATGGAATAAATAATTAAAGTATGAGAAGATATAGATATAATGAGTGTAAATGTTCCGTTTGTCAGGTCGTCTATCGATATGATGGAGTTCGAGTCTTAATGAGGACGAATTTCGTCATAAAGAATTAAGTTATAAAAGATTAGACGTATATGCGACTTTGTCCTAAGAGCTGTTATTCGATCGATCGAGATTGACTTATTCACCAGGAAACCACTCATTTCTCGCTTGATTTTCAAGTCTTGAAGATCTAAACTGAGTCTGACTCGTATACTAAACGAACTCAAGCCTTAACAAGTTGAGCCCATGAGAAGCTCGTTTCGTTTAACAATTATAATCATACGCGAATTATTAGTTCTCATTTGTTTCTGGATTTTTCATTGTTTTTTAGAATTTTTTTTAGTAAAGGATGTTAGTTTTCTACTAGTATAATACTATGACAAAATTATAGATTAATGCAGCAATCACATACATTACCTTTTACTCCATCTGTTTCATAAATGGATCTTAAAAAAAAAAAAAAAAATAGATAGTTAACTTATCCATACATAACTGTGAAAAAAAAAAAAATCATATTTAGATATTTCATAATTGATATTCCATGTCTCCCTCTCTAATTGCTCACAGTATTGATTGGTTACAACTTACATTTGATGCAAAATCGCACCGAACTGAAAAAAATAAAAAACGAAAAAGTATATGTAGGAAAAAAAATTGAACCAAAATAAACATAACTTTTTTCTACATATAAAAAAAGGAACCGAACAACACCGAATTGTACGATTGCGTGAGATTTTTCAGTTTCGGCTCAGTTTTTGCTCACCCATAAGTTTAACGGCCTGCACATTTCAGATCATTTATGCAAGGACCCCACTCCATGTGAGTGTTATGTACACCTCTATGTATATTTATTATGTACTTATAGTATTTTTCTTTATTGCAATTATGCCCCACATGACTTAACCTTATCAAGGAACAACCAAAGAAATCTCACCACACATTTCCATCCCAAGGATGTAAATGAAAACATTATCCACAACCTTACCTTGTGCTGTGTATTTCAATCTTCACTTAAAAAAATGTCACTTCATCTCAAGACTTAAGAGAAGTCTAGTTGATTTACAAATTTTCATGGCCCATTTTGCCCCTATTAGGCCTCACACACCAAAACCTTCAATCTCCACACATTCAAGCAAAACAACCTATTTGCCTTCTCCAAGATTGCTCAAAGTCTTGGCTTGCTCTAATGTTTCTTATAAAGAAAAACATGTCCAAAGGAGGTGAGTAACATAGCCTTCTCTTTTTCATTTTCCATGAATGTGTGTATTCTTTTATTTTTATTTTTTTACTCTTCCTTTTTTTTCCCTTCAAATTCTTTATTTATTTGTTTCAATCTTCAAATTCCGGTAGTTGTATTGTTAGACAAGTCATATTTTTTCAACATATACGTGTACTTTTAGACTGAAATGTCATAATCTTCACAACGTAGGTATGCGCTTTTTGTTAAGGAGATATGACTTGCCGACCCGCCTAACGGTTAGGCCTCCTCATACAAGTATTTGTAATCAAAACCCTAATGTTCAGGCCAAGCATCCCTTAATTCTCTTCTCTGGTTATAATTAACTAACTCTCATATAAATTATTTTATCCTAGGTTATTACTTATTCTAGCTTTTAGCTTTAATATGACTAAAGACTAAATGACCATTAATGAAAAGAAATTGGCTTTTGGAGTTTTGGCTGCACTTAAAGGTTAATTTTGGTAATTAACCCAAAATGACAATTATGAAAAGAAATATATTTTACAATGCAGGTGTTTAGCATTGGTTATGGCAAGTGCAGCCGTGGCATTGAGCTCCGGCGGTGGAAATGCGGTGGCTGCTGCCAGGCGGCCACCGCCACCTCCGCCGGAGGAGAAAAAAGACCCGAATTTGACCGGTTTGACTGCGAAAGTTCTGGCAAGCAAGAAGAGGAAAGAGGCCATGAAAGACTCCATTGCCAAGCTGAGAGACAAAGGAAAGCTCATTCAAGAGCCATCTCAATAGTCTGGCTGAGGCTATTTTGGTCATTTTGAAGACTCGAATCAGCTGAACAAAAACTCTGTGAGGAACCAAATGCAGATGCATGTTTCCAGGGTTTTCGACAAATGTTTAATAATATCATAAGTTAAAGTGCAAATAAATTTGGATGCAGAATTTACAGAATCTATTGCAAATTAATGATTCATTGCCATCAAACTACGAACACCATAAACACTCGTGAGGGTTTCGATTTTTGGCCCATGAATAAGTAAATAACCGATCTTTTTTCGGCAGATAAAGGATGAAATTTTAATTCTTTGATTGAGCAATGAACCTGGGAACTTTCATGCCGAATCCATGCTGTGCCCTCTCGACTCTGATCAGAAAACGTCGATAAGTCATTAGTCTTTTTTGAGTGATGATTGAAATACCAAAAGAATTAACAAAAAAAACACACCTACATTGGTACATTATAAAGCTCGAATTTTAACGAAAAATGTTGGAGGTAAATTATATAGTTTCATTAATAATGTCATGTCAAACATGAAAACAATCACATAACGTGAATTATTAAAATGGCGATTTAATTTTCATCGAATAATGAAAAAGAAAGAACTTACGTGGGAGCAAGTTTGCCTAAGCCGTCTAATTCTTCTCCGGTTTGCTCGTCAATGACAGTCCCATTAATCTCGACAAGATAAGATCTGTTTCTAGTGAGAGGAAGGCCTCGGCTAGCAAGCAAATCGAGATCTTTTGTATGAAGTTCACGCCCATTCACAAAAACTCCCGTGTTCCCACCAGCACAGTTGTCGGGCATTGGATAATCGAATTCTTCAATATTTGGCTGCAAAAACACATCAAGCATTGTTACAGCTGATAATCATAACGAAAAAAAATAGTATAAAAAGAAAACTCCGAATTTAATTAATAAAACTCACCATGATTATACCAATACAAGGATGGCCCATCACGCCCCAGAATCCAGCTCGCTTATCGTACCTAATTTGTTAAGATAATCGGCAAACGATCAATTATCATTTGGACCAAAATGATCAATTAGCTACTATAATAATCTTGAAAATGACCAGAAGAACGCTATCACATTTAGCTATTTATAGCTGGATAGACATAATACACTTCAAATCATGTAGCATCACTAAAGAACTAACTGAAACAGAGATGCATAACAAATTTGTGCAAGATTAATCAATAAGTTAAACCATGCACACACACACACACGCATACCAGTATTCTCCTGGTTGAATTGGCCCAGCTAATTTCTCAGCCAGTTTAACCACACGATCGGGTATAAAACGCCCATTAACCGAAACCTGTGGAGCTCCAGCTTCCATGCATTGGTTGGGCTTTTTGAAGTCCTTGAAGCTCTTCTTGATAAGACCTGTAAAGAACGAGTCATCCCCTTTATTGGCCTTGGGTTCAGCTTCTTTAACTATTTTCACCGAGACATGATCAGAAACACGTCCATTCGAAAACTCGTTAGATTTTTGTTGAGATGCATTTCGCTCGAGAGTAACCTTCTCCTGCTCGGGCCTTTGACTTTTATTCCTCTGATCAAAACGGTTGACTCCGATATTCTGATCGGGTGAAGACTTCCCTCCCATTCGGTCTTGTAGCTCGTCTTCCGGGTTTCGGCAGTGCTCAGAGAGACTCGAATCCGTCGAAAGCTGATCCACCAGCTTCTCAATTGGCGAAAATCGATCATGAAAATTTTCGTATTCATTAGAATAAGTGTTCAGATTAGCACTATTAAACCCACTATTCGAATATCGTGCATTCTTGTCAAAAGTTCCGCTCGAGCACTCGTCCGTCTCAGTCGGTTCTCGATCGACATGCACAGAAGCTGACACAATAAACCCCTTCTCCTCAAGCTCGAACACAATAATCGAGGAACAAGCCCCGCATATCAGCTTCTGTTTGCTTTCACCCAACATAACTCGCCTCCTCGGAATTTTTAGCACCTCGAAACAATTACTGCACCCTATAAAAGGCGCACCACCAGCAAACGGGCTTTTATGGCCCGCCAGGAACTTTCTTGGTCGGTGGTAGTTCGAATTCAAACCATCACTCTCAAAATCCACGTCGTTAGAATTCACGAACAGCGATTTACGAGGCTTCATTGCGCGTAATTTCAAGCTCTTATCATAGCAATGCATGCACGAGCACGCGGGCTGATGGAGAAAGTTGTCATGACGATTTAACATGAAGTGATCAAGATTGTTATTTTTAACATCCCCATAATAATAGCTTGGGCTGTGATGATAAGGGTGGCGCGGAACATACTGCGAGTGGGGCCCGTAAGGAGGTCCATGGAGAATTTCGGGCTTGTATGGACACGAACCGTACCTGACAGAGTCGGCAAAATATGACGGGCCCACGTCATTTGGGATATTGTGCGGCTGCTTGTTCGGGTTTCCGGTGAAATTATACGCCGGCCGAGAAGTTGACGGGACTGCCCTCCTCTGGTCATAATTACCATTCATCTCCTTAGATTTATCTGAGATACCGCACGAACGGCTGATCTGATCTTTCAACTCGTCGAGCTTCCATATTAGCTCAGCTCGGCCATTCTCCAAATCCTCCATCCGAGCTGGCACGTTCGGGACGAGCCCTCGGTACCTGTCGGTCCTTTCACCCGATCGATAGTAAGAGTCAGTCTCGTAACTCGACTGCCCCTCGTCAAAGTATCGGGAATCGACGAACCTCATTTGTGCAGAGTCACTTCTCTCGCGGGCCCACTTGTTCAAACCGGGGCTCGGCCTTAACGGCTCCATGGGAGGACGATGGCCTCTGACATATTCGTCAGGAAAATGGACATACTCCGAACCGAACACATTTGGGCCGCGATTGATTGGCAGATTACGGTTAAAAGTGTACTCTTTATCGAGACTTTCTAAATTTCTAATCCTTTCTTTTCCTCTCCTAATCAGACCAGAATCGGACTGTGCCTCTGTACTTTCGGAACTCCCGTTGGCAGTTACTCTTTCTTTACGAGCTTCTCCTAACATGCTGGCCTCGAAATCTTCTGCATTCGCCATTTTAACCTCGGAAACTTCAACTACATTGCTATCTTCTCGAATTTCTTGGCCCGTGCCATCATCTGATATATCAGGCAGTTCATCTTCCAGAACCCCTTTATGTTTCGCTGTGCAATCAAAATAATTACTAAGGTACAAAAGGAATGATTAAAAAAAAAAAAAAGAGGCACAAAATCATGAATATAACACAAAACACAATAATCAAGAACTGTTAGATCAGACACTATGCAGATCAAACCTAGTATTTATGATGTTCTTTTTTCTGTAAATATTGCAGCTTCAGTTACAACCAGACAAACCAAGAGCAAGGATTCATGCCAGAATAGCTAAAAAAAAGTTCCTTAATTGCCACAAAAGAAACAATTTTCACAAGGAAAAAACCATATAACACACCATAGGTGTTGCAAAATTTGGTAAAAAATCAAGAATTTCTCCAAACAGAGCACTGATAAAATCTGGTTTCAACTAGAACACACTCACAACCCACATGTAAATGAACTGTACGAACTGTACCTTTGAGAACCGCACCACAGCCACCACACTGGTAGAGAGAGAAATCAGGGAGCTCAGGGAGGAGATTTTCACATTTGGGGCAACGTACCAACCTCACCTTAGCTTCGTCAGCCATTAATATACAGATTATTTTATTTTTATTTCATTTTATTTATTTATTTATTTTCACCTGATAATACATCACCAAATTGACAAAACTCTACTTTACAATTGATGAATTTTTCAAAAAAAAACGCAAACTTTTTTTAAAGTCAGCTGAAAAATCGTGAAGCCCACAACACAAACTCAAGAACATCAATGGAAAAACACAAATTAAAAGAGACAAAAA